GTTCCGTTTTCGTCGTGACTTTAATAATCCATCCTTCGATTCGTTCAGGCTCGACTTCACTTGAGTTGACGTTGATGATTTGGTAGGTTCGCCAGTCGATGACAGGGTTGCAACGAAAGAACCAGGGTTTTCCAAATATGACGTCAAAGTCCTTCTTTCCGACATCCCACTCGGTAAGTATAAGATCTGGGAACGTCCATTGACCAAAGCAAAGTGTGCCAGATACATCCTTCACTTTCTTGATGCCAGAGCAGTGTCCATCGAAGCCTTCTGCTTGAACTTCCTTGGAGCGGATCACTGTCTTGGCCAAGCCTGGGCGGCAAAGCAAGTTCGAGGCACCAGAGTCGATCAGAATGCGAACGCTTGCGCTGTCGAGTGCGCTGTGAACTATCATCAACTTGTTTCTTGCGCTGGCACTACTTGCTGGGCGGTATTGATGTTAAGTGACTCCTCCTCCGCGGAGTCTTGCTGGGATAGGCCCATGTTGTTGCCTAGGATCACTTCTTCTGTTGACTTCGGTTACTTGGGCATTGTGCTGGCGACTTGGTGTATTACGCTGGGCTCGCTGAGGCCGGTTGGCATGTCTTGAGTTGTTGTTGCGCTGGGGTTGAGCTTGGCTTCTTCCTTGATTGTTCCGGGGTGGAGAGCGACAGTCACTGATTCTGGGCCCATGCGTCCCAAGTTGTAACAGGGGCCTACTTGACGTTGTCCACGGTGTTGTACTTGGGCGTTGTATACTTCCATGTCGTCATCTTGGCGCTGGCGTGGAAGATACGCATGCGGTGGGCGACTTCCTTGGTGTCGGTTGTTGAACGGATGGCGGCGATCTTGAAATCCTTGATGCGGGCGGCGATCGTGGCGATGAAAGTGATCGCGGTCTCTGGCGTGACCACCGTTAAGGGTCGAGTTGTGGGAGCGCTCATAGTCCAGGGCAACTTGGATCGGGAGAGTCACAGTCTCACAACGACGATACTGCAACTCCTCACGAGTTCTGGTTCGCAGACCGCGTTGGAACCAGGACACCTTGCCGCGCTCGGTCACGTCGCACACTTGCGTACATATTCGTCGGAACTTGGCAACATACTCGGTCAAGCTCGCACAGTGGGCTTGCTTCAATTTGTAAAGCTGATCACGCAGCCGATCTTGTAAATCGTCGGGTTCAAACTGGGCTCGCAGCCCTTCTTTCAGTTCGATTAGGGTATTTGGAGACTCACCGCGCGAAAGCCGTTCTTGGTACCAGGGTGCGACAAGGCCACGAAATTTGCCACCATCATGGCAATGCATCGCTGTTGAGTCCCATCGTTTTCTTGGTAATCCACGTTCTTTGCCTTGAAAAAGGTCATAACTTGGTGGATTTATAGGCTAATGCTTTCGTCCATTCGTCCATAATACTTCGGCATCTTTAATCCTTCAACTCTAAGTTCTGTTTGTCGTGTCGCTCGTTCGATATGTTGACTTGCCATTCGCTCGCTCGCTTCCACTTGAGCGGCTTGGGGACGGGTAAGCATTTCCAACAGCTGTTCATGTCGCTGAAAGGATTCTGCCATTGTGCGCAAAATTTCATCCATCTTGTAATTCTGGTGAAATTGAATTCCTCTACTTCGAACTTCGATCTACTCTCGCTTCAGCCTTGATCTTACGGGCCTTGTGGTACACTTGGATCTTAGGGTCGAGGACTCCTTCAATCAGTTCTTCGGTTTGGTTCCGGTGGATCAATGAGCCTGTGAACTCTTGGATGGCGTTGCAGCGCGTCGGAGTTCTTCGCTTCAGGGATCTGGGAACGCAACTTGTTCATAACCTCGCGTTGGTGACCGGCCAACACTTAAATGTCTTGGCGTAGCTTAACCGGCAGATCTTTTTGGATAGTTGAATAGTTCGCCGATGTCTTTGGTGGCCGCGAGTTGGGGCTTGCGGGTCTTACTACGGGGCATACACTAGCAGATCACTCAGAACGTCTATGGATTTTGTTGCTGAGACTATCACCAGGCAACGGGTAGCAAATACCACGTTTTTAAAACCTTTGGCGATGTGTAGTCTCTGCAAACGACCACAATAACCGTCTAAGAACACTGGCTACGTACAGCGGTTTGACGGGGCTTGGGCGAGGGAACCAGGAAGTGCTACCAATTGTAGCACTGCGGGAGGAAGCGTGTGTAGTTGAGGGCAAAATGCACAATGAATTAACTGAAGATCTACAAAGATCTCCTTAGTCTACTTCACTACTTTACACGGATGGTCGAGATTTGATGTCGATTTTGAGCGCGAAATCGTTGGTCTTGCGCTTGACAGCCAACATATGGTTCCTTCAGTTTTAAATGTCCTTTAAAAAATGATATCCTGCAACGAGATTGGTTTTGATAGGAATTTTCGGGGACAGCGACAAATGATATCGAACAAGTAATGTGGAGCAGAGGAAGTAATAATATAAACAGCTCCAAATAAGACCCAATTGGAAGGGCACACAACTATGGGAGCTTGTAGAGTAGGCTGACTGTCACAAAAGCGCTGTTGTGGGTGAAGTACACTACGCACGTTTACTTCGGGTTACCAGGCTCCCGCTGCAATGTCTTGTGGCGCCTACACAAGCGCTCGCTGCAGGACTCCAGCCATTCCTCCTGTTATTTAGGGTATTTTGAGGATTCCTCAAACGCGGTGTTGTGCAACAATTGTCCGGATATTGTCCAAGAGTACAGTCGTGTACTGGACGGTGTGCTTTTGAAAAGTCACCCTAATCACTTTCAGGACTTGACCTTTTCGACAGCCTTTTTGGCCAAAATACGCTGTCGACAGGAAATTTGGCTATTTTCTGTTTGATTCCGCAACTGCGAGATGCAAAGCAGACATGCATGCATCATTTTGAGCCTTCCAAACGCACTCATTCTTTCACGCATTTCATCCTCCGCAAAACATGAGCCCGCCGCAATTGTGGTGGCCGGACTTGTCAAAGTATCAGTCGCATGCCAACCAATTTCCACCTTCGACACTGATACTGTATGCATCGCCGCATCTACTCCATCTGTCCACAAGATTTGCACTAATCAGTATTTTGAAAAGTGTGGCTCCACGGATGGTTACTGGATGATAATATTGTCAATATCGTGTGCAAGATGTGCTTTAGATAGCTTTGAATTTTAGTGTGCAAGCAGTCTGATTAGCATGTCTAGGGGTTCAACACACAAATGCGCTCGGGTATTCCATTGTATTCGAGGTACAGTACCGGATAATGCCCACCCCATTTCAGGGTTTTTACATGCGGAATGAACATCACCCAAACCAACTCAGAGATCATGGGTTGCTTGACCCCCAAGCCATGATACCAGTGGGTGATGGTGTTCTCATCGTCGAACCTTTCGCTCACAAATTGGCTCAACCTACTCAAGGCCTACTCAAGCCAAATGAGTGAACCATCCTAGCCCGAAATCAGATGAACACGCTTGGAAATGTCACCCGAATTCATAATTACAGCTTGTCTAACAATTCGTATCCGTTTTGTTTCCTTATCGGTTCACGACAACCTTCTCACATTTCAATTTGCCAGTAACTTCATCATGGTCAAGCCTACATTCATCGCTGCATTTGCCGCTCTCGCCACGGCTAAAATCGCCCCCAGTGTCCACCGCCACTTGGAATCCAACCATGATGTGGACGTCGTGATTGAATTCCGAGGCGGCAACCAGCGCGCCCTGGAAGTCGCCCGTCTTGAGCGGGCTAGCTTTAACGATCGTGGCTCCAGCATCGCCCATGTTCGGTCGCTCTTGGAGAGCAACATGGAGACGTCCCAGCGCTCGGCTGTGGAGCTGCTGTCGTCGCAGCCTGAAGCCCGCGTCGAGAGCTTCTACATCAACGGCAACATGCACGTGTACGGCGCCAACCGCGTCGTGCTGGACGAACTCGCCAAGTTGGACAACGTGGCTCACATTCGACAACCTGTCACGGCGCAACTCAGTCCCGTCACCTTCGACGACGACGACGTCTCTGCTGTGGGGATTTCTGAAGGATGGGTTGACAACAACACAACCTCTAGACGCGCTGCGAACGAATGGGGGGTCGACCGCATTGGTATCCCTGCGGTATAGGCCAAAGGTACCCGTGGCGAAGGCATAGTGGTTGGTATTATCGATACTGGTGCCATCCACTCCCACGATGACTTGAAGTCCCACTGGCGATCGACCTACGGCTGGTTCGATCCCACCCCACCCCCGTCGACAAAAATGGTCACGGCACCCACGTCACGGGTTCAGCTGTTGGCCAAAACGGCATCGGTGTAGCTCCGGGTGCCACGTGGATCGCTTGCCGCGGGTGCACCACCGCCGATTGCCCTGAAGCGGCGCTCATTGGATGTGCACAATGGATGCTGTGCTCGACGGATATGACCGACCAAAACCCCAAGTGCGAGTTGGCGCCTGACGTGATCAACAACAGCTGGGAAAACGTAGTGAATTCCAACACTTACCAAGCCGTCGTGGACGCGTGGCGCGCTGCTGACATCACTCCCGTGTTTGCGAACGGCAACGGTGGTTCTAACTGCGGCACTGTCTACTCCCCTGGGGATTTCAAGAATGTCATTGGGGTGGGTAACCTAGACATGAACGATAAGGTGGCAACCTTAAGCAGTCGGGGACCTACCAAAGACGGCCGCGTCAAGCCCGATGTGTCGGCTCACGGGACTCGAATTCGTTCGGCATGGCACACTGGCAATTCGGCCTACAACACCATCTCGGGCACGTCCATGGCGTCTCCTCATGTCGCTGGTGCCATCGCCCTCTACTTGAATGCGAACAAGGGCGCCAAGTACGATGATATGTACAAAGCGTTCACGACCACCGTGGACACTGCCACGTTGACTCGAAATAACCAGAATTGTGGGGGGGTGTCAGATTCCAAATACCCCAACAACAACTACGGGTTTAGACGCATCAACGTCGCTAGCGCAATTGGAGGTGGAGTCACCCCCCCTTCCTCTACCACCTCTGCCCCATCACCTTCGAAGCCCAGCACGGCAGCTTCGTCGACCTCAGCCCCCGCTACACCCCGGGCGTTCCCTACTTCGCCTGTGACGCCATCCACCTGCAATGGCTGCACTGGTTGCTATTCTCCATTGATCAAATTTTTTTTCAATGTGCCACGTTCACGGTGCTCCAAGGAACCTGGCGAGGCAAAGAGTAAACTCATCAGGATGTGAATTGCTACGATCACCGATAAGTAGAGTTCACCTGTGCATAATGGACGATTGCGTTTAATTATAAGTGATTCCAACCCATCTTGTCATGCCTACGGCTACAACATGAGAGGTAGACTTAGTGCCTCTGTTTTTCACGCATCGTGGTTACGATTAGACCCCTCGACTGGGGTAGCATATATTTGAAAGTCTGCACATAAACTCAAGTTGTCGAGAAACATGCCTTCACAATTAACCTAAGCAACGAATTTATGGTCACTTTTCATTACAGCTAGCGACAGTTACCGTATTACTGGTATTGAGATGCATTTAACCCGGAGGATATAGCGTTGAATGTACTCATCGGGAGTATGACGGGGTAAGTGTATCGGGATGTCAAAACTCCCTCATTGAAAGTGTGAAACAGCATTTCCCAGTGAGGTAACAACAGTAAGATTACCACAGTTTTCATGGAGGACATATTCTCTTCGGTGGGTCTTTTGCAATAACGAGTTTTCGAATGAGGTAGGATGACAAACACAACGTTTTGATTGGCTCTACCAATCGAAGTTATTTCTACATTTTATCATTATTGGTTCTAAGAAATCGAGCCATCATAATCGCAGGGAGTTCGTGGGGTGTAGCTACGTCCATGCTGTGCGTTCTTTGGCGATTTCAATAATGAGCATTCAAAATGTTAGAGGAAAGTGCGCGCATTATGAACTGAAACTTTACTTTATTCAAGTATAAATTTCGAAGTCTTGCCTTCGCACGTTTTCCTCCGAACGTCAACCACAAGGTGTTTCCAAACTGATTTGCACTCCATGATATGTAATTATTTGAGTTATTCCATTTTCATCGGGAACATGACCAATTAAATACTTGGGGCACGCGGCTAATTATATCGGGCATGGCCAAATAAATCGGGCATTCGTCCAACTTAACTGCAAAATGGTGTAACTTAGTACAATTCACTGTATCGTTCCGCTAGGTACACGCAAGCTGGATCAATACTGGACGTAATTATTCTTTGTAGGCAGAGCCGGGCAGTTTTGTTCCACTTTGTAGGCAGAATTTAGCACAACTTGTGGTACCGATATACTAGCACTACTAACAGTAGCTGTACTGTTTTAGCAGTAAGTCCTCAAAATTCATGGTCGAGGATTTCTCGGCGGTAAATAACGTTATTCAAATCAAAAATGCCACGACGCCGTCAAACTTCCCCCAACACCGAGTTCATCGACTGTAGAATTGATAGAGCTACGGGTATTTGTGCGAGAAGTTAAAGCATAGCATAGTAACCAATAGATTTCGAGTCTATCGCCTTAACCGCTCGGCCAATTTGTCATGTTGAAGAAAGCTCGATTTGAACCAATAGAGTGATTTTGCACCAAGAATCCACACGAATTTTCCAATACAATTTCCCTGAAAATCCTTCGGGTGAATTTTATGTTGGGAAGGTGCTTTTGCTATAGGAAAAATTCAAATTCAAGCAGAACTGCCGCTGTGTGCGTTGTTGCGGCTCTTCTGGAGCACCTACCGGTAGGGCACGGCTCCCAATCTTTAGGCATATCAACAACCCAGTGCATTAGGTGCAATGTGTACGGTTTGTGACCTTGCACCATCCCTATATGCTGTAGTGTGCATCGCGCCGACGTTCAAACATGACCGCTTTGAGGTGGTCGATCAACACTGGGGGATAGGATGTATCTGTTGGCTGGTTTACGTTCGGCACTATACCACTGCTCGCCTACGATATCCTCGCTCATCTACTAGTGCGTCCTACTTACCGCTCATCTACGTTTGGTGCCGACCATGCCATTCATCCATGAAGCGAAATTGGTAATTTAGCATGTTCAAGTGTTTTGATTGGCAACTGTGTGTGAAATGGTATTCCCAGTCAGAAATTCTGACAGAATATATTCGTCAAGAAATTCCCAATATAATCAGATCAAAAGGCTTCATCGTAAAACTTTTCAGGAAATACAGAGAATGACGGAATGGTACGCCAATCGAAGTTTGTGAAACAGCTGCCATATTTTGTCCAATAGAAGTCGAGATTGAGAATCCTAACATTTGATTGGCAAGCAATAATATTTTCCCGCCTGCACTTCTTTTTGAATTTCCCCCGTACCTCACGTCTTCATTTGATATGCAGTCAACAATGCGCATTCCAAAGCGTAACTACACCATCGCAACGAAGCTGAAGGTGCTAGGTCTTTTGGAAACAAGCACCTGACATGCTAAGCATTCCACGTCGCACCATCCGTACGTGGGTCAACCAAAAACGTGACATCCTTGCTTACAACGGGAACAAAAAACGAATGAAAGTCGATCCAGGTGGGCGACCTGAAGAATTTCCCGATCCCAAGGGTCTCGTTGACTATATTAACCAAATGCGAGTCCAAGAACGGGCGCTAACAACGTCGCATATCATCAACTGGATCAAGAGGCACCAGGCGGCTTGGCTGCGGTCCTACATCGCACGCAAGAAGCCCGATACCCGGTACCAAGGGCTCCTACGACTGCTGCAGCGCTTTTGTCACCGCCATGGATTTACGCGTCAACGACCCGGCAAACAGAAGCACAAACAATCCGTCCTGATCGAAGTACGTGATGATTTCGCTGCTGAGTTCCACCGGCAGTACCACGGCTTTGGTCCCGATTGCGTCTACAATGTGGATGAGACCGGGTTCTACTATGACATGCCGCCCAAGTACATATGGTCTGCTCGCGGTGGCGACGCGAAGATATCAACTGGCGAGAAATACTCCATGCGTATGACTGCTGTACTCACCGTCCGCTCGAACTGAGACAAACTCCCGATCCTTTTCATCATCCGCGGCACCCCCAGCGGTCGCATCGAAACGTTCGAGCTACCAACGTACTCAAGCGGCCACTTCTATGCTGTTCAGGGTAAGGTATGGATGGATAACACCGTGTGGAAGTCGTACCTGCGTGACCTGTTACACCGAAGTCTTGTCGAGCCGTCGGTAATCTTGCTCGACAACTTTGAGTCGCATGTGAGCGATGCCTCGTACCGCATTGTCGAAGATGAGCTCGGCAGCTTCCTGTGCGCGATTCCCCCCAATGCTACGTCCATCTGGCAGCCACTGGATGTTGGTGTGATGGCTCCATTCAAGCGTTACCTTCGGGACGAGTGGCTCACCGAGGAGATGATCGATGGGGAGGACGGCGACGATTTCGACACCCCGACAGCCGCTGAGAAGAGGAAAGCGATGGTGAAGCGTGCCATCGCCGCGTGGGACCGAGTGACGGCTACTGAGATTCGCAACAGCTTTGTGAAAGCTCTACCATCTATAGAGGAGTAAATGAACAGAAAATGATTTACCCTTGTTGGCGATGTCACAACCAACAATCTTGATCGAATATAATTGTGAGTATTATATAATTTTAGAAAAACTAAACTTGATTTTAGTAATGCAATACTCAAATTAATATAGTTTTGGAAAAATGCTTGACACTGCCCGGGAATTGAACCCGGGCACCTTCCTCTATCCACTTGGATGCCGTCACACTAAACCGTTGCGCCACTGCGTCAAGCGCTATCTTCGATGTTGGTTCGTAGTTACGGTCACGATTTGGAGTTTCTCCTGTTTCTTTCTATGTATTGTAAGATCGGATTTTGAGCTAGTTGGACTAGTCCAATATTCCAAGCTCATCCAGCTGTATCTTTTTATAACCTGCAATAATATTACTTCAATGTCGCGATGATTGGCTGCAATAGCAATCGAACTTCGCAGAACGTTAGCAAATAAAATCGCTCGAATTCCCAACCTCTCGAAGGCAACTGTGGCGTACCATTCCGTCGTTCTCTGTATCACGTAGCAAAATCACTCTTATAACGATAAAACTTCGAATGGTAGAGCCAATGAAAATGTTGTGTTTGTCATCCAACCTCATTCGAAATCTCGTTATTGCGAAAGACCCACCGAAATAGGGAATATGTCCTCCATGAAAACTGTGGTAATGTTGTACAGTTCATGGGGCTATAACCCCAACACCACATCACATATTACTATGCTATGCTTTAACTTCTCGCACAAATTCCCGTAGCTCTATCAATTCTACAGTCGATGAACTCGGTGTTGGGGGAAGTTTGACGGCGTCGTGGCATTTACGATTTGAATAACGTTATTTACCGCCGAGAAATCCTCGACCATGAATTTTGAGGACTTACTGCTAAAACAGTACAGCTACTGTTAGTAGTGCTAGTATATCGGTACCACAAGTTGTGCTAAATTCTGCCTACAGTGTGGAACAAAACTGCCCGGCTCTGCCTACAAAGAATAATTACGTCCAGTATTGATCCAGATTGCGTGTACCTAGCGGAACGATACAGTGAATTGTACTAAGTTACACCATTTTGCAGTTAAGTTGGACGAATGCCCGATTTATTTGGCCATGCCCGATATAATTAGCCGCGTGCCCCAAGTATTTAATTGGTCATGTTCCCGATGAAAATGGAATAACTCAAATAATTACATATCATGGAGTGCAAATCAGTTTGGAAACACCTTGTGGTTGACGTTCGGAGGAAAACGTGCGAAGGCAAGACTTCGAAATTTATACTTGAATAAAGTAAAGTTTCAGTTCATAATGCGCGCACTTTCCTCTAACATTTTGAATGCTCATTATTGAAATCGCCAAAGAACGCACAGCATGGACGTAGCTACACCCCACGAACTCCCTGCGATTATGATGTGAAGTACAAGAACACGCCGCTGCGCTAGTGTGCTGGCAGGAATTAGGAATGGCGCTTCGCTCATGAAATATCACTTGAAACAAACGAAATGTGCACCCAAGAACATGCCCCAAGAAGAGCCTTGAAACATTGGAACCCTGGCGCCCTGGAACCTATATTAGTTAGGTAAACCTGTAGTCTTCATTTTCCGGGGTTTGGCGCATCACCAGTGGTTTGCTATCGCTAACCCCCGGCAATACCCCGAGCCCTCAAGATCAGAAGCAAGCCTACCTCGGCTACGCTGTGAAAGGTCTCGCATCCACACGTAGATGCAGAGAAGGATCAAGGTGCGACGAACTCCTGGCTATAGTGACCTCCAATACGAATTTGCAACTGTTCCAAATCGATTTGCGAAGCGACTTGATCCCGTTAGTGTTGCACTAACGAAAATGACTAATTTATGATCACTGTACCAATTAATGATCACTCCATGTGAGCCAATCATATTGCAGTATT